TTGGCTGCCATGATGGCCATTTCTCTTGATAGTCGTGCCGTCGCACGCATCCCACCTCTTCTTTGGTGGTGGTGGAGTCTCTGCCAGGCTGCTGGGGCAACGGGCTGAGGAGGCACGTTCGTATTTTCTCTTACCCTCCTGGGGGGAGTATCTTCACTGGAGCTCAGTTTCTTTTGTCAAACTTCAGATTTTGCTAAGTAATGGGGCTTCCTCCTGTTCTTTTTCAAGAACAAATCCTTTTTCAAGGGGGTTGCCCAAATGTTTTTTCAGTAAACTTTTACCACAAGGTTGCTCGTGGTTATGGTATGATTTCCCACAGACAATGCCAATCTGTTGACCCCAAAATTTGTTGCCAACGGATGCTAGTCCCACCCGCGCACACGTGGGTGAATGTCCAACACGCTAAGACACGTGGACGGTCTAAAACGGGTGGTTCAAAGGGTGTAGGAGTAGCCCAACGATGCGGGACGGTGACGTTCGAAATCTGGCGGGTTGTTCGTGATCCGATTGTACAATAATTACCAACCGGTGTTCGTAAATGTATATGTAAATGTGTATAGACTCGATTTTTGTATTGCAAGTAAATGAGAGAGAGTTGAGTAAAGTGTAGTTTTTTGTATTGATTCTTGCATTAGCCTTTTGATGTTACACAAGGGAAGTATTTATAGTGATACATGTGAAATGGGAGCTCTTGGATAAGGTGGCACGTGGCCTCATCTCTTTGATTCAAACATCTTATCCTAGGCATGGGGCTTGACTTGCTAGCTTACTGTGCATTTATTACTTGTGCAGAGTCTTCATGCTAGTGACAAGACTTGACCTTTATGCTTATGACAAACGTTCCATCAATCATTCGAATAAGATCTTTGTGTAGACTATCTCTTGGGAGAAGTGACAATGGAGGATGCTCCCTTGTGGTTCGGAGGCTCCTGCATCAGCTTTGGGGTTTCGGCCATTTTATACAATACTTCCACTTGAGGGCTTCAGCTAACTTCAACCAACTTCAGCATCATGGTTTTGGCTCATAGGCCTCAACATGTGGACCTCGGTTATACTCACATGCCTCGGTAAAAGGGCGCGCCTCGGCTTGAAGAGCTTCGACCATAGCCCACCTCAGCAATATATACCGCCTCAGCTGGAGTGCCACGTGATTCGGCCTGAGTGGGCCACTGGCCCGGGTAGGTTGGTTAAGTATGACAATACGCAACAGAAACTATTTAAAATTTAACAATTTTTAATTAGCAATGACCCGCCTAGTCAATGTATTTGGATCAACGATTTTTTATTAAACGTGACAGGTTTTTCGTTTTTCAAATTTCTATCGGCCATGAACAAACCTATCCAATAGAGCACCCCACCCTGGATCGAATTGATGGCCGGATCATGGGTTTCTTAGTTAAGTCTGTCCAGGTTTTAATAAGGATAAATATCTATGTATCGAATTTGAGTTATCGAACTGATTACCTACTCTCACACACATGGCCTCGCGTGTATATAAAAATTCCTACGTGTGGGACCCGCCATCCTATTGTTTGTGTAGGTAAAAAATTATGTAAAAAGTTGATATACATCTAGCATTGTCCAATACATTCCTCAAAATTTATATCAGAATTTAATATTGTGAATTGTTACAACTATGAACATCACTTAATTAGCTTATTATTATGAGAAATAAGGATTCAATTCTTAAACATGAGTGTAAATGTTGCATTTTGGTTTTTAAAACTCATTTTCTTTGCTTATTTATATTTTTCTTAATTTATATTTCAAATATATTATCTATAGAACGACCTAAAAAAACCAAAGCTCTAAACATTTGCAAATTTTATCGCATTTTCAGTTATATGATAATTTTTATTTTTATTTTCTAAACTTAGCAATTAGCATAGTATAAATATTAAGAGTACAAAAAATAACGAGTTTGAGAAACTTGCTACTAAATCAAGCTATATAAAATATTTATTAGATTTTTAATTAGCTCTATTAATTTATTCAATAGCATGTGATAAGTGTATTTTATACACTTATGTAGACCTAAAAATATAGACATTTAATAGTTCTTTAAAGAAATTATAATCTAATTTGTTGTATATTTTATTTATTAGGTAAAACTCGATGGTTGGAAGCTAAACCGAAAGAAAGAAGTGAAAAATGGCGAAGTACAAAGTTGAGGACCAAATTGCAAATATCCAATGGTTGAATTGGACCATAAAAGATATTTTAAAGTTTGATGGGAGTCAATTGGATGCAATTAGAAGTCAAAAAGGAATGGAATATCATCAGAATATTACTATAAATCGACTTCCAATTACATGATATATTTTTCAGATTTTTAGTTAAGGATTGCGACCAATTTTTGGCATAGTAAACGTCCAAATTGGAAAATATATATTTCTAGAAAAATTGTAACTCTTTTAGTTAGCTTTCCAAAGAATTTTTAATCAATTCAATCGGATATCAGGAGATAAAGTTATGATCAAAATACTGACTATTGTGCAGAGACAAAAAATTCGCGCGAGAGTGTAACTTTCCTTATTCGATTGGAACTCTTTGGAAACCAATTTGGACGTGATTTTTCACCAATTTTCGACCACTACAGATACCCAACAGAAGAATACACAAAAGGGGGCTCCCATACTTTTCTCATATACATAATATACTCCAATATTCATCAATTATCATCATTAAAGGAGGAGAATTCATTGTTTTTGTGAGAGAATTGAAGGGGACTTGCAAGAATTCAATCAAGTGAAGATTGAAACTTGGTATTGGACAAAGAAGAGAGAGCACAAGTGGAGATTTATTAAGAAACCATTGAAGAGATTCAAGATTTCAAGATTTGTCTTCATCTTCTCAATTTATCAAAAATCCGGGTTATGTCTTTCCACTTATATATGATTTCTTGTAATTTAAGTATGTTAGGCTAATTTTTCTATATTTGCTAGGATGTGATGAACCCTTGTTATGAATTTTTAATTTGAATAATTTAATTGACGTTAATTTGTTTAATTGTTTGGACGTTTATTATCGTTTTCATGCTTTCTAATTAATTAACCACTAGTTGAATTGTTTGTGAATTTTGTTGTTATCGAGAGAGACAATAAGATCATTAGCACAAAATAATAAATATTGTGAGGTTCGATAGAGGATAGAGATATACCTCTATACTTCATATTATTTTTATAAGATGTTCTAACTCGTTTAATGCATTTATTATGTTCGCATTTTTCATCGAGGGATAGGAATGTCGTATGAGGGGAATAAATTTGATAACTATCGAGAGAGGTTTTCAATTAAAATAGGAACATTGACCAACAAGTATAATTTCAAATTGTCAATTTAAATTGTCGAACTAAAAATGGAGTGGCAAGTGGAATTCCACATCTTAGCGATACTTCTCGCAAATTTGATATACTTTTATTTACTTTCTATTTAGTTGATAGATTTAATAGTGTTAGTTACAGCTCGACCTTGCTATTCGATTAAGGGAATTATTAGTTTTAACTCGATCAAACACATAGTTCTCGTGGGTTCGATACTCTACACACCACTTTATTACTTGTTTACGATCCCGTTCATTTGCGAGTAATCAATCGATCAAATTTTTGGGACCATTGTCGGGGACTATTGTTTTTGACTAGTTTTAGTTAATTTTAACTTTAATCTGAATTTTTCTTATTTTTAGTCTAGTTTATTAATTTAGAAAATTTTTACAGTATTTCTTGCTTTCTTTTTCAAGACTTTATATACGAAGTTCGAGAACTGCTGATCTTGCTCAATTTCACCTAGAAATCGAACAAACATTCAACTTTCGAAGAAGACAACAACTTGAAACACATCAAAAACAAAAAGAGGAAGACATGGCAAACGAAAATCCGAATCAAATAGCCATCGGAACTAATCTAGGACTAGCACAACCGAATATCGCTGCAGTCAACAAAAATGCAATGCTCATGGGAGAGTATATGGTTCCACCGGTAGTGGAAAGCCAGTCCAGTATCGTATATTCGGCGTTTGGTCAGGCAAACTTCCACCCGAGGACAGATGTCATCAACATGTTCCAAAATGCACTACAATTTTTTGGGAAAGCTACAGAGAATCCCAACACTCATATATCAAGATTTCTGGACATGTGCACAACAATTGAGTATTTGGGGGTTTCAAGCGAAGCAATTAGACTAAGGCTCTTCTCATACACATTGAGGGATTCAGCAAGGGAATGGTTAGACATTTGTCCACCGCAAAGCATCACAATATGGAACCAATTGAGTCAGAAATTTCTTAGCAAATATTTCCCACCAAAAAGAATTGCAAAGCTAAGGGATCAGATCACCACGTTTCAGTAAATGGACTAAGAATGCTATCCAGAGGCTTGGGAACGATACAAGGGTTTACTTCGCCAGTGCCCACAACACGGATTGTAGAAGTGGCTTCAAGTGCAATACTTTTACATTGGTTTGAACCCGATTAGCAGGGCTAACGTAGACTTTGCGTGCGATGGTTCTATCACAAAAAGAACCGCGGACCAGGTCTACCAAATCATGGAGGATTTGGCATTTACCAGTGCACTTTGGCCTACTGAAAGAACGAGTGAAAAGAAAGTTGTTGGGGTATTCGAAGTTGATTCTTTAACAGCACTTTCAGCACAATTGACATCATTGGCACAGAAGATAGATCAGATGAGTGTAGCCCAGATAGTAGGACCGAAATTCAAACATTGTGGAAGGAACCATGAGAGTGTTGATTTTAACGTAGGATCTCTTTTTGCCCAAACGGTAGAAGACGTGAACTACACTTGGAATTTTCAAAGGCAACAACACAATCCAAATCCAAACACATATTACCCAGGCTGGAGAAATCACCCAGGTTTTCAATGGAGTAATAATCAGGGAGCTCACATTACGCCACAGCAAACGACACCACCTGGATTTTAGCAGAATGAGAAGAAGTCTTCATTAGAAGATCTTGTGATTAAGTTAGTAGAAATATCCACTCAACATATGAAGAGAACCGATAAGAGCTTGCAAGTTCAGGGTGCTGCCATAAAAAATTTGGAGAATCAAATGAGACAAATAGCTAAGGCACTCTCAAAAAGACAACAAGGAGCATTGCCAAGTGACACTGAGATAAATCCTAAGCAGTACGTAATGGTAGTAAAAGTTGTAGAGAATGAGGAGGTTGGGGCAATCACTACACGCAGTGGGATTCAACTTCCAGAAATCACAGTTGAAAGACGGGTAAAAGTAAATGAAAAAAGTACCTTCCATACATGAGGAGCAAGTGGATAAATCTGAACAGCCAGATAAAATAGTTCCATATCAAAAGTTAGAAAATCTACAGGTTAAGGCAACCATTCCTGTCAAACCTTATGGTCTTCTTGTCCCGTTTCCACAGAGATTACAAAAGAGGAAGTTGGAAGAATAATTTGCAAAGTTCTTGGATATCTTCAGGAAACTTCATGTCAATATCTCATTGATTAAAGCTTTATCTCAAATACCAAACTATGCAAAAATTTTGAAGGAGATCCTATCGAAAAAGAAAAGGCTTATAGATTTTGAGACCATCAAGTTAAATGAGGAGTGTAGTGCCATCTTGCAGAACAAATTACATCCTAAGCTACAAGATCCAAGGAGTCTCAAAATACCTTGCTCAATAGGGAATGATTCGAATTTTAATTGTTTATGTGACTCAAGAGCAACTATAAACTTAATGCCTTTCTCTGTATACAAGAAATTAGGATTGGAAGAGTTAAAGGACACATCCATCTCCCTTCAATTGGCAGACAGATCAATTAAATACCCACGAGGAATGGTTGAGAACGTGCTCATTAAAGTGGGCAATCTCATATTTCCCATTGATTTTGTTGTCCTAGATATAGAGGAGCCATAGGATGCAACGTTACTTATCTTGGGCAGATCCTTTCTATAAACAAGCCGAGCTGTCATGGACTTTGAAAGTGGCGAATTGACATTGAGAGTGGAAGATAAGCAAGATAAGTTCAAGATCTACAATACTATCGAGAATCCATTACATGAAGAGATCAGCAAAAAGGCTAATGAAGAGTGCAAGTATATTGTTATAAAGGTGCAACAAGGCTCGAGAGAGACGGAGCCTAAACATCTAGTTAGCGTTGGACGAGAGAAGAATGGAAGGTTCAAGGTTTGGAGGGCAAAATGAGGATGCAAGGCCGGAAATTGTAAGGAGTATAAAAGCTCAAAACACATATTTAAGCCACTGTAATCAATTCATCCATACAGTCTAGATAAATTAAGTGCTTATTGGGAGACAACCCAATCTTTTAACCCTTTTATTTATTTTGCTTTCTGCATCGTATGGCATATAGATTTGTTTTTATTATTAGGTTGCATTAGATTTATGCACATTTTAATTTGTAGGGTATCACCATCCTCAATACTCCTCTTATGCCATTGAATTTATTGTTGGTATTTTGATTGTTTGGACTAAGTAACACATGTTCTAGGTTATTTGAACTTTAATGTTTAATTTGAACTGCTATGTCAGGAACATGACGTCGTGGAACACTCAAATCAACAGAGATCAAAGGAGAAATATGATGACAGAGATTGTCGAATCGTCGTCCATAGTGCCTCACATATTCAACAGAAAACTTCGGGGAGTAATTTCTTCATTTTCTTCCCCATTTCCTTATACTCTTACTTTTACTTTATGACATTGAGAACAATGTAATACGGAAGTGGCCAGGGATTCCTTGTGTGAAACAAATTGTGTGGATTGTCTGAGATAAACAGAATAAAATTGGGTGAAAATCTTGAGTTGGAGGTCAGTTTTCTTGAATAGGTGTATGATAAGGGACATTGCACTAATCAAGACATATATTTTAAAATTTAAAATTTCTTTTTGAAGCCTTTATGACTCGAGCAATTAAGCCTGCAAGGGTATCTTAAAACCTGATACCCTAAAGTCATTTGACTTGGGAGTTATCGACCTAAAACTCGCTACATGGGTCATCTAAAAAGCAATCAGAGATGAAGTCACATTTAAAAAAAATAAAAATAAATAATCGTTCTCTTTGAAACCTTTTTTACTCAGGTTATTAAGCCTGCAAGGGTATTTAAAAATCTGGTGCCCTAAAGTTGTCTGACTTAGGAATCATCGACCTAAAACCTGCTATATGGGTCATCTAGAAGATTTAAGGAGGAGTGCAAAAATAACAACAACATTAATAATAATAATAATAATAATAATAATAATAATAATAATAATAATAATAATAATAATAATAATAATAATAAATACACTAAATGTCTTGTTAAGTTCTAACACTTGTTCAACGGAATTTGACTTTCGATGAAGGATAATTAGACTAGTTGAATCTTGCAGTCGAAGCAATCAAATAATTGGAGAATCTTTATTCATTGATGTGTTGACTTGCAACTAGTGACATCCACCCAAATTGGAGAGGATGGAGATAGTAATGAAAAAATCAATCTTAGATCACACGCTGGGGAAAGAGTGAAAAAAATAAGTTTGAGGGTATGTGAATCTTACGAGAGATGAAAGAATAAATTTGACCATAGAGGGTCGAAAATTGGAACAACTTGTGAAGTCATTAATGTCTACCTAATTCTTCACACACACATGTCGATTTTGCATTAAAAAAATGGATATTGGTTTGGTGTTGTGACTTTGAAGCAGTTTGTTAATTTAATACGATGATCTCCATTTCTGATGTAAAAAGCTAGATTATCCAACCAAAATATTTTACATGTTTGTGTGTTTGTTAAGTTAAGTTATGATTTTGTTTGAGGAAAAACAAATGTTTAGGTTTTGGGGTGTTTGATAAGTGTATTTTATACACTTATGTAGACCTAAAAATGTAGACATTTAATAGTTCTTTAAAGCAATTATAACCTAATTTTTTGTATATTTCATTTATTAGGTAAAACTCGATGGCTGGAAGTTAAACCGAAAGAAAGAAGTGAAAAACGACGAAAAATGATGAAGTACAAAGTTGAGGACCAAATTGCAAATATCCAATGGTTGAATTGGACCATAAGAGATATTTTAAAGATTGATGAGAGTCAATTGGATGCAATCAGAAGTCAAAAAGGAATGGAATATCATCAAAATATTACTATAAATCGACTTCCAATTACATGATATATTTTTCAGATTTTTAGTCAAGAATTGTGACCAATTTTTGGCATAGTAAACGTCCGAATTGGAAAATATCTATTTCTAGAAAAATTGTATCCCTTTTAGTTAGCTTTCCAACGCATTTTTAATCAACTCAATCGGATATCGGGAGACAAAGTTATGATCAAAATACTGATTGCTGTGCAGAGACAAAAAATCCGCACGCGAGTATAACTTTTCTCATTCGATTGGAACTCTTTTGGAAACCAATTTGGACGTGATTTTTTACCAATTTTTTATCACTACAGATACCCAACAGGAGAATACACAAAAGGGGGCTCTCATACTTTTCTCATATACATAATATAATCCAATATTCATCAATTATCATCATCAAAGAAGGAGAATTCATTGTTTTTGTGAGAGAATTGAAAGGGACTTGTAAGAATTCAATTAAGTGAAGATTCAATCTTGGTATCGGAAAAGAAGAGAGAGCGCAAGTGGAGATTTATTAAGAAACCATTGAAGAGATTCAAGATTTCAAGTTTTGTCTTCATCTTCTCAATTTATCAAAAAATCAGGTTATGTCTTTCCACTTACATATGATTTTTTGTAATTTAAATATGTTAGGCTAATTTTTTATATTTGTTAAGATGTGATGAACCCTTGTTATGAATTTTTAATTTGAATAATTTAATTGACGTTAATTTGTTTAATTGTTTGGATGTTTATTATCATTTTCATGCTTTTCAATTAATTGGCCACTAGTTGAATTGTTTGTGAATTTTGTTGTTATCGAGAGAGACAATAGGATCATTAGCACAAAATAATAAATATTGTGAGGTTCGATAGAGGATAGAGATATACCTCTATACTTCATATGATTTTTATAAGATGTTCTAACTCGTTTAATACATTTATCATGTTCGCATCTTTCATCGAGGGATAGAAAGGTCCATGAGGGGAATAAATTTGATAACTATCGAGAGATGTTTTTAATTAAAATAGGAACATTGACCAACAAGCATGATTTCAAATTGTCAATTTAAATTATCGAATTAAAAATAGAGTAGCAAGGCGGATTCCACATCTTAGCTGATAGATTTAATATTTTATATCAGCAAATTGTCGAATTACTTGCTTTCTAGTTAGTTGATAGATTTAATATTGTTAGTTACAACTCGACCTTGCTATTCGATTAAGGGAATTATTAGCTTTAACTCAATCAAACACATAATCCTCGTGTGTTCGATACTCTACACACCACTTTATTACTTGTTCACGATTCCGTTCACTTGCAGGTAATCAATCGATCAGCATGTATTTTGTTAATTTGCTACTAATGTGTCAATTGTATTTACTAAACAATATGACCTTTTATATGAAATAAATCATTAGTTATAATTGTTTAATCATTATAAAAATATTTATAAAATTATTTCTTTTAACTAAAACTAATGATATCATATAATGTAACACAGAATTCAAATTAATATGAAAAGCAAATGGTAAAATGGAAATATATATTTACTATTTGCTGATATAGAGATCATCTATTACTAAAAATAAACTTCATGGGAGGTTTTTATAATTTTGGAAATAGTGAAGCGTCTTTGTAATGGTTTGTAACCTCAGGGGTGCCTATGTAAGTCGTCCTTAACAAAATTAAATGAGCTAATTTATTGAGAAAATCAAAATATTAATAAAATCAGAATTCTTTAAAAGTTGTCCTTAGCTTGGTGTTTCTTTTCAATGAAAACACTGAGATGATGAGTAATTTTGGTAAACTAAGAATAATTTGCGGTGTTGATAATATTGTGTATCTCTAATAATATCTACTAGAAAGAACTTAGTCAAATTAATCATCATTGCTATAGTTGAAGTTATTATGGTCTCATAGTCTTTCTCTTCACATTTTAGGGGTTTTTACTTGAAATTTTTAGTCTTGCGCTTTCGTTTGCACTTGATTGGGTTGACAAATTGATGATATTATGGACTTGTTTGGAATGTTCTTGTGGTGCCCTCTCACCACCGGCTTTTGGAAGGTAGACATAAGAATTTCATTCAGCAATATCACGAATAACAAGTTTTACAATGCAACTTCGTGACTTTCCAAAATCATCCATGTCATGAAGACATAAAAGTGCATTCTTTGCGAGGTTGTGAACAACACTAATCACTTCACGAAGTACGTACGAGCACATTAAAGAAGACGAGGGAATTAAATAAATCCTAAATTTTAAGCAATATGATGCCATCAATTGCACGGAGAGACCTATTGTTCACCATTTGAACAATTCGTGTATCCCATTTTAGTGACTCAAAAAGAGAGGAGATTTATTATGTTGTGAGAAATTTTCTCAAAATCGTTATTTAGGTAAAGGTAAGATAATAATTATTGTCATCAAAATCAGCCAAGCTCGATCAATAAAATTAGGAACTGGACCAAAAATCTGGCCAATCTCATTTAGTTAACCAACTATAGTAAAAATCATTCAAAACCCTATGAATCTGCCTATTTAATCGTAAATTGGTGAATCGGTGGCAATTTTACCGATTTACCAATTTTTATTTAAAATTTTTTGACTTCATTAATGGGCTCATGCACTACAATCGAAGGCCCGTAGAAGAACTTGGATGTAATGCTCCTTTTATAGATAGCAAAAAAGGTTTAAAATGCCCATCAAAATCATTTTTCATATGTACGTCTAATTGACTAATTTGATTTTGGGTCTCAACTAACTAAGTTATAATATTTACCTCCATCTTTT